AACACCACAAATCTTGGCCCCTACACTCTCCACTGCGCAGGATCCCACAAGCAGCAAAACATGAAAACGGCCACTTGTTGATAAGAGAGGATTAATCTCATCCCAAACATTGGCCGTGAGGGAGTGGGGGTGTCAGACCCTGCAGTTTCTGCTCCTTTGAAATATTGAGCCCACTCCTTATCCCCAACCCAGAGCCTGCACTGGCCTCCCCATTCCCTCAACACCCCACACTCAGGGACAGGAATGAAGTCCCAGTCGATGGAAACAATTCGCTCCGTTTACCCACAAACCTCACACAGACCAATAGGGGCCGGTAGGAGGGAATGGAATATGGATGGGGGGTGGGATCCACTCCCTTCCCATATCCTGTCACGCTCATCCCACCCACCCATCTCCCCATTAAAATGACGACAAATCCCAGCGGAGTTTCTCCCAGATATTCCAAGATGAAATACAGGGAAGTAACCAGCTGGATGGAGAGACAAGGGAATCCAGCCTTCCCCTCCCCTTCCCCTTCCCCATTGCCCTCAGATCACCAGTAAACTACATTCAAGTGGCGCCTGCACCTTCCGTTTATCCCTCACCACCCCATGGCCCTGTCTGAAGTACACATACGACTCTCCTCAATGATTCACAAAGCTTTTAGTTGTATAAGTCCTGTCCTTGTTTGTTTTACCAAAATGCAATACCTTGTATTTATTCAAATTTAAACTCCATCTGCCACTCCTTAGCCCATTGATCCAATTGAACAAGATCTCTTTGTAATCTTAAATAACTTGGCTGTCCACTGTACCAGCAATTTGGGAATCATCCACAAACTTACTGACCATGCCTTCTATAGTCCCATCTAAATCATTTACACAAATGACAAACAAAAGTGGACCCAGCAGCAGATCCTGTCGAACAGGTGTCCAGTCTGAAAAACAACCTCCACCACCAGTCTCTGTCTCCTGCCATTAAGCCAATTCTGTATCCAATTAGCAAGCTCACCCTGAATCCCATGTGATCTAACTTTAATAATTCGTTTGCCACAAGGAACCTTGTCGAAGGCTTCACTAAACTCCAAGTAAACAACGTGTACCACTGTGCCCTAATCAACCTTCTTTACACTTCCTCAAAAAACTCAATGAAGTGTGTAGAGCACGATTTCTCTTGCACAAAACCATGCTGACTATCCCTAATCAGTCCGTGCTTCTCCAAATGCATAGGCTCACAGGTCTATGGTTCCCAGGCTTCTCCACACATCACTTTTCAAACAGATGCAAACACCAGCCATTCTCCAGTTATTAGACACCTCACCAGTATTTAGAGATGATACAAATCTTTCTGCAAGAAGCTCAATTTTCTCCCTAACTTTCCACAATGTCCTAGGATACACTAGCTCAGGACCCAGAGAATTATCCACGTTTATATCTTTTAAGACCACCGGAACTCCCTCTTTTATAATGTGAACGGTTTCCAAAATATCATTATTTATTTCCCTGAGTTCTCTAGCCTCCATTTCTTTCTCCACAGTAAAAACGGAGGCAAAATATTCATTTAATATCTTTCCCATCTCCTGAGGTTCAACACAAAGATGAACTCTTTCACCTTTATGGAGCCCAACTCTCTCTCTCGTTGCTCTCTTTCTCTAATGTACTTGTGGCATCCCTTTGGGACATCCTTAATCTTATTTGCCAAGACTATCTCATATCCTCTCTTTACCTTCCTGATCTCCCTCTTAGGAATGCCCCTACACTCTTTATTCTGTTCAAAAGATTCATTTTGATTGTATGTAATATGTGATTGTTTGTATCTAATATGTGATTCTTTTTTATTTTTATATAACAAGTCCTTCATCCCTGCAATCAATCTTGTAATCCTCCTCTGGACCCCTCTAACACCAGCACATCTTTCATGAATACAGGGCCCAAAACTACTCTCAATTTTCCAACTGCAGTTTGACAAGCACCTTTTATAGCCTCAGCAGTACATTTCTGCTCTCGCTGTCTTCAAATGAATGCCTACATTGCCTTTGCCTTATAACCACCAATTGAACCTGCATGTTAACCTTACGATAATCCTGAACTAGAGCTCCCAAGTCTCTTTTGACTTGAGCTTTCTGAAGGTTTACCCCGTTCAGAAAATAGTCTATGCCTTTACTCTTCCCACCAAAATGTATAGCCTCACACTTTCCTTCACTGTATACCACCTGCCACTTCTTTGTGCACTCTCCTCGCTGTCCAAGTCATTCTGAAGCCTTCCCACATCCTCGAGACAACCTGTCCCTCCACCTATCATTGTGTCATCTGCAAGCTTAGCAACAAGGCCCTGAATTCCTTTGTCCAGATCGTTAATGCATTACGTAAATAGTTGTGGTACCAACACTGACTCCTGCTCAACTCCACAAGTCATCCGGCTGTCATCCTGAAAAAGACCCCTTTATCCCAACTCTCTGCCTTCTGCCAGTCAGCCAATCCTCAATCCATGCCAGTACTTTGTCCCTAACACCATGGACTCTTACCTTATTTAGCAGTTTCCTGTCTGGCACCTAGTCAATGCCTTCTGAAAATCCAACAGACTACATCCACTGGCTCCCCTTCGTCCAAGTTGTTCAGTACCTCCTCAAAGAATTCCATCAGATTTGTCAGGCATGAAGCCCCCTTGGTGAAGCCATGCTGACTCTTCCAAGTACTCCATGATCATATCCTTACAGTGACCTGCCACACTGTGTTTAATACAAAGCTAATTTATTTGCCTTTTATCCAGAATATTAAAACTTTGCTTTCAGTCCTGAATGTGATGAACTGCAAAGTCCAATTACCGTTGAGATCTGTGAACTCTATGTTGTCTCAGCAGGATTGATAAGTGAGTGAATTCCTTCCCCCACACAGAGCAGGTGAACGGTCCGTCCCCCAGGGTGACTCTCTGCTGTCTCAGCAGGGCCGATGAGTGACCCAACTGTTTTTTCCTCACATGCAGCAGGTAAATGCTTTCTACCCAGTGTGAACTCACTGGTTTACTGAGAGTTGAAATGATCGCCTGAACCCAGTCCCACAATGAAAGCATCCGAAAAGGTGCCTCATCATGTGAGAATGTTGATGGGACATCAATTCAACAGAACTTCGATAGCACTTCCCACCGACTAGACAAGATCTCTCCTCAATGTGAACACAATGATAAAACCGTCCCCAAGAACTTGCACAGGGATTCCTATAGTCTAAGCATTTATAAGGTCTCTCCTCAGTGTGAACATGTTGATGACAATTCAGTTCCCAAGAGCTTCTGTAGCACTTCCCGCAGTCTGGGCATTTAAAAGATCTCTCCGCAGTGTGAACTTGCTGGTGTCTCAGCAAGTTGGACGACCGAGTGAATCCCCTCCCACACTCGGAGCAGCTGAATGGTCTCTTCCCAATATGAACCTGCTGGTGCTCTGTGAGGTCAGATGATCACCTGTACCCAGTCCCAGAGTGAGAGCACCTGAATGGTCTCTTCTCAGCGTGAACGTGTTGGTGGGATATCAGGTCCAGGGGGTTTTGCAGCATTTCCTGCAGGCTGAGCATTTAAAAGATCTCTCATTAATGTGAGCAAGTTGATGCAACATCAGGTCCCTGGGACTTTTCAAGCACATCCCTCAGTTTGGGCATTTAAAAGATCTCTCCTCCATGTGAGCACTTTGATGGGCCATCAGGTCCCCAGATGTTTTATAGTATTTTCCAGTCTCAGTATTTAAAGGGTCTCTCTTTCGTGTGAACGTGTTGATGGGACACCAAGTTCCCAGAGGTTTTATAACATTTTCCACAGTCTTGGCATTTAAAAGGTCTCTCATTAATGCGAGCTAGTTGACGGGACATCAGGTTCTGGGATGCTCTGAAGCATTTTCCACAGTCTGGGCTTTGAAATGGTCTCTTGTCAGTGTGAATGAGCTGGCGTTCCAGCAGGCTAGATGACCGAGTGAATCCCTCCCTACACACTGAGCAGGTAAGTGGCCTGTTACTGATGTGACTGATTCGATGAGTTTCCAGCTCAGATGCAGAAATGAATTCTTCCCCACAATCCCCACATTTCCACAGTTTCACAGTTTCACCCCCGTGTGACTGCATTTGTGGTTTGTGAGGTCTGATGATTCGCTGAAGCCTTGTCCACACACACAACACGTATACAGTTTCTCTCCAGTGTGAATGGAGCTTTTTCCTTCCAGGTTTAAAATCTGATCATGTTCCATTTGTGATAAAATGGGCGACTCCATCAGATCCTGGTGTGACGGTGCGCTTGAAAATCTTCTCCTTCTAATATCTTGTGAAATTGACATCAAACAAAAAACAAGAGAGTCAGAGTCAGAGACAATCTCTCACAAGACATTGGCTTCTGTGTGGAGATAGGGAACGAAGGAGGGGGATTTTGGACACCTACAACTTGACCAGAACTCTGTCAGAATCTTTTAAACACTCAGCCTCCACCACTGAGAAGGGGCAGGGTAACAGGTGGATGTGAACACCACCACCTCCAAGTTCCCTCCAGGTCACACACCATCCAAACATTGCTGACATCCAGTCCTGGTGGAGCAGAAATTTCCTCCCATTAACTAACTGGCAAAACCGAGGCCTTTATCTTCATTCCCCAACACAAACTCTACTGCCTCACAACTGACTCTAAACCCTCTGTGGCAACTGCTGGAGTCTTAACCAAACAAGTCATAACCATGGTGAAATATTTCATCCAGAGATGAGTTTTCAACCACATATCCCTACCATCATCGAGACTGCCTATTTCCACCGCAGTAACGTTACCCGACTCCTCCTCGTCTCTGCTCATTTGCTGCTGAAACTCTCATCCATTCCTTTGTTACCTCTGGACTTAACTATCCTTACGGATTCCTCACCATCCTCTCACATTCCCGTCTCTGCACTTGTCTTACTTCTCTGCCTCTATTTTTGGGTGCCCTTGAGCTCTGTTTAGTGTTTTTTTCTTCCTTCCATTGACTGTATCTAAACGAGATTTTTACCATTGCTCATTCTCCCAACCATGTGCTGCTGTCTTAACAGCTTTATCTTCCCACATCAGCTCTCACAATGCTGTAAGGGAAGGAGTTATAGGTTACTCATCAGGTGATGTAATCCTGAGGCCATCCAAAACTCTGCTGCCCGCATGAGTGTTCACAACAAGGTTTGTTCACCAACTGGCCCATGCTCACGCAGCTAAATTTTAAACTTTTCATCCTTTTGTTCAAATCTCTTGATCATCTCCTCTCTATCTCGCTCTATAATGTCCTCCAGCCTCCAGCCCTCTCAAGGGCAATTAGGGCTGGTCAGTAAATGGCCAGTAATGGCCACCCCTACCCCAAGAATGACATTTTTTTTTTTAAAAATGTCCTTCCAGATATCTGCATTATCTCCAATTCCAACCTCCTGAAAATTCTTGATTTTAACTGTTTCACATTTGGTGCCCTCAAGCTTTAGCTGCCAAGGCCACAAACTGTGAAATTTCCTTACTAAACCTCTCCCTTTCTCTGCCTCAGTTTTGCACTTTAAAATACTCCTTCAAAACAACGAATCTGACCATAAAACATTTTGTCACCTCCCTAACATCTTATTATGTGATTCTGGTCAAACGTTGCATTATAATACTCCCGAGGAACAGCTTGGAAGTTTCCATTCTGTGAAAGACACTACATTGATATAAATTAATTGTCATTGATTTGGACACATATCACAGTTCCTTCATCACCACTTGGTGAATAACTCCTCACCGAACAGCACTGTGGGAGCTACTAAGGAAATATAATTGCCAGCAGCAAATGCTCAGGCAATGTTCTGCTGTATAAACCTTATTTAGAGAGTGAATGGAAGTAACAACAAAATACCTAGGACAGTCACACCCATTATTGAAGACAGAGGAAGTTAGACAATGACAGAGAGTTGATCAAGGAGAGCAGAGATGAACCAGAACAATGGATGGTCTCTCATTCAGCGGTGGTATAAAGCAACTTTTAACATCAGTCACATAATATGATATTATGGGGGTGACAAAACTCTCCCAACCATGTGCTGCTGCCTTAATAGCTCTATCTTTCCACATGAGCTCTCACAATGCTGTAAGGGAAGGAGATCCAGTTCCAGAGTCAGATATCCGAGAACAGCACGAGAAGCTGAATTGTGTAGATGACTGGTTAAAAATACTGAAATAATTTCATTGTGTTCCAACTTTAAAATCAAATGCTAGAGTCTACCCCTCAAAAGATATCAAAAGCACTGGGGTCAGAGGAAACTATCACAGTTCAGGATACCTAGGAATCAGAGTGATGTCACTGAGTAATTGTCCGTGTGTCACAACATCACTCATTTGAACAGACAGCATTTGGGTTTGCACAAACAGGT